GCTAAGGATGTTCTTTGGCTCCAATATGCTTACTGGCAATGTTTTTCTGTCTTCAGCAGTGTGTGTGTGTGTGTGTGTGTGTGTGTGTGTGTGTGTGTGTGTGTGTGTGTGTGCATGTCTGTGATTATTCGTTTGTGTGCACCTGATTTTGTTTGCTCGTGTCCGTGTGCGTTTTCGATGAAATACAGCATAATGGAAACGACTGAAAACATATGTTTAAGTGAAAAAAGATATATTCACCTTCCTTTACCTGTGGTAGACGCATCCTGTGAAGTGACGGCGACATCGAAATGTTATCTTTATAACGTATTGCCTTCACACATAACTCGGAGCCTAATTAAGCAACCAAGATCTTGGAAAAAAATTAAAGCGTACAAGCAACAACAGAAATGTTTCCTTTTTAAAAACCTTTGGCTGACTTCAACCTGATATATGTTATATGGTGCCACTCAAATAGCTAGCTGGTTCCTATTTTCTTTATTCTCCAGGTGACGTCAACTAGTCTATCGTTGGTCTACGTTTGCTCTGATGTGAACATGCATTGACAAAGCGGACGATCCTTTTACTTCCTGAAACCAGTGATTCGTATCAAATAAGTTAAAATCGTTTTCGTGTCTTATTACCTGTAGAGATCTGGCTTCCGACGTATGACGGACAGAAAGGTTACTGAAAGCTGAACTCAAGTTGAAAGAATTAGATTTTTTCAGCAGAGGGATATACATGAGTTTCTACTTCACTGCTATTTTAAGTTTTTTCTTTCATTCCATCTTTTTATCTTTCTCTCTTTCTTTCTGTGGTCTTTGGTAGTATACTCAAACCTTAAAAGTTTACAAATGAGAGGAAGAAATGGATGTTTTTTACTGATTCAGTAAATACGAAGACAGTTGTTGTATTAGGTCAAAATAATCAGGATTTAGTCTTGTTCTCTAGTCTTGTTAGCCTTGTTTAACTATAAATGTACAAAGGGAAAATTTGTGAGATCTGTCACCAGATCCCCTGACGCAGTAGTTATTGTTAAAAGATACATTAATAACTAAAAGAAAAAACTGAAAAAAAAAACGTGAATGAATGACCGGTAACAGTAAGATTGATTCGTAGAAATCACACGACGGTGCCTTAATGAAAGTGCTCGGCTTCCTGACAACAAAATAAAAGTACATGTAGGAATTTATGTACCAGTAGGTTAAACGTGCACACTGCAGGCGTCTTCCCACTGGAGTTGGGCCGACCGATCTCAGTCTGACCTGTAGACTTACATGGTGTTGTTTACCTTGTCATAGGAGGTCACCTTTACTGCACAATACCTTCTCGCAGTACACTAGTACGGGTGGGACATCAGAGGGGCTGGATTGCCCGGCTGTGGTGAGGTAATCGTAATGCCACATGTTGATTACAATGGCAGCAGGTGGGACATCAGAAGGGTTGGATTGCCCGGCTGTGGTGAGGTAATCGTAATGGCACAAGTTGATTACAAAGGCAGCAAGTGGGACATCAAAAGGGTTGGATTGCCCGGCTTTGGTGAGGTAATCGTAATGGTAAAGGCTGATTACACTAGCGGCGGGTGGGGTAACAGAAGGGTTGGATTGGCCGGGCTATGTTGAAGTAATCGTAATGCCACAGGCTCATAACAGACGGGAGACACAATTCATATCATTAGCACGGTTAGCTGTGACGTTTTGAAGAAAGACAGAAAGTCTCGAGAGGAGATAATGACCACTCCCTTTTTTGTCTTGGATATAAAATCGTGCAATGTAACTTGATATATTTGCCAGCGTCAGCTATGATGTAAGGAAGACAACCTCGCGAGATCATAACCACATTTGTCTGTAATGTAAAAATTGTAAAGTGTAACTTGATATATTTGTCATTTTGTTGTATATTCACTCAAACAGGAAATGGGGTTTCCGTCGTGTTGTCGCACCGATAGCTATAAATTATAAAGGAAAATCTTAGGATGGGATAATGACTTTCTAACCTTTTGTCTTTAAAATAGAAATCGTGCAATGTAACTTGATATATTTGTCACAGGTAGTCGTGACGTGAGAAAGAAGGTCTCATGAGAAGTCATGTCCCTTTCTTTAATACAGAAATCGTGTTTTGTAAGTTGATACATTTGTCACTTTGTTAAATTAACACTGTACCACGACATGCTTTCTCTGCGTGACTTCACGCGGTTGGTTTGAGTGCAGACGATATTTCCCCCATTGCACTTCAGGTGGGCCGGTGAGGTGCGGATGATTTGATAACTTGCGTGTCACCAAGTGAGGCAGAAACCTCTCCAGACGCACCATCTACGTTGTCAAGTATTAAGAGCGCTGTTTTGTCAAGCACATGAATTCCGTCTCCATCATCCACGCCATATGGGTGACCACAATTTTCTGAACGATCCCTGAATCACAGCCACTGTGTGTGTTGGTCTAGGTGTGGACAGACGATGATGTTGCAGTAGATATTTGCACACTTAAAACCTTAATGACGACGGCAGGTAAAATAATATCCCCAAAGTCTGGAACTTTTTCTCTGCTCTGAGATGAGCTCAATCCTATGCACATTGAGGCAGCACAGCCAAAGGAAATATGTGAATATCTAATGAAAGATCAACCAGTGGCCCTAGCTGGTAGAGGGTATACGTTACCACTCTTTCAGCAGTGACAGGAACTGTCCAGGGTGACTTATGTTAACCTTGCTAATATTGTGCAGAACTTTCACAGGTACTCTCACTGTATGTCAACAGATTAGCAGACTAAAATCTTAATCTAGAGAATATTCCAATCCTCTCAGCCTGTGTTAATTAAAGGAATATCTTGTGTAGAATCTATCATCAGGCTGAATGTACCGGTGTGCTAGGAATGGTAGTGCTAGGAATGGTAGTGCTAGGAATGGAAGTGCCAGGAATGGTAGTCTGGGGTCCCATATGATTAGTACAGAATAGGGTTAGTTGGACTATCAGGGTTAGTATATGGGACAAATGTCACCTGCACAAAGTAATAGTCCTTGCGGACTACCATTTCTGTCACACCGGTCTTTTCCTAACATTTATCGAAGTGACTTGCTATTGTATTGTAAGGCTTAAGATTTGTGTTGCAACAATTTCAGTTTCTATAATAGACAAATGTATGAGAGAGAGAGAGAGCTAGAGAGAGAGAGAGAGCTAGAGAGAGATAGAGAGATAGATAGAGAGAGAGAGAGAGAGAGAGAGAGAGCTAGAGAGAGAGAGAGAGAGAGAAAGAGAGAGAGAGAGAGAGAGAGAGAGAGCTAGAGAGAGAGCTAGAGAGAGAGAGAAAGAGAGCTAGAGAGAGAGAGAAAAAGAGAGAGCTAGAGAGAGAGAGAGAGAGAGAGAGAGAGAGAGAGAGAGAGAGAGAGAGAGAGAGAGAGAGAGAGAGAGAGAGAGAGAGAGAGAGAGAGAGAGAGAGAGAGAGAGAGCTAGAGAGAGAGAGAGCTAGAGAGATAGAGAGAGAGAGAGCTAGAGAGAGAGAGAGAGAGAGAGAGAGTGTTCAAATTTATGTCTATTGGTGTATTGTCAGTGGAATATAGTGGACGTCGCTCCTCTACCAATGCACCAAAATAAATATTGTTTTCAGAAACTTTTTTATTTAACAAGAATTGCATGTTTTAAAAACGTTATTATTTTAAATGAACATCAACAAATTATTTGTGCAGTATATAAAAATGGTGAATAGGCCCTATAATAACTTTCAACATAAAAATATCAACTAATGAGGTATACCTTAGCAGTTTCTTGACTATGTTTAACCATAACGTTATGCAAATGTTTCTTTTCTCCATATTATCAACACAAAATTTTATAACGTTATCAAAAACGTGTTTATTATGTAAAAAAAGATAGAAACATTAACGTTTCTTAAACATTTCTGTGTTTACTGGGTGTATTGCTTAGTTATAATCATCCAGAAATTGAAGCCCATAAAGGGAAACGCCAAGAAAGACGTACATTATAGAATACAAACCCTGACAATACAATCATCCTTCTAAACCGCATCGGAAGATGTTTGCCAATCTCGGCAACTCTTGGAAGCCTTATAAATGGTTTACTTCTGCCAACAAGAAGTGAGCGGGGATTAGAAAGGATTTACTCTCCGGTTGGCTGTTTGTACAGGAAGTGTGAGCCAAGCTGATATTTGATTTCAAAAGGTTTCCCGGAGACGGCATCGCTTACAAAAGATTCATTCATTTTTCATTTTTTTTCCATTTTCCCCCAAAACAAATCAATGTCGGGCACGTGTTTAAAACAAAACAATTTGCTGGATTCCAGTTCAGTGTATAGCTCTGTGTTAATCATGATAAGCTTGTGGCGGCATTTCAGCTTTTAGCAAACTCATATTATACAAGGCGTGAAAAGCTGACATCTTAAAAGTTGGCGCTACATCACAATAGCAAGTGCTATATCAGTAATTTGCTGGTACCTCTCAAAACTCGAAAGCCATTTTTTGTTTTAGGCTGTTAAATCAGAACACGATAACCATATATCGTGTTTTCTCTGGCTGCATAAAGGCAGCTACTACACCACCAGGGTGTGGTTTAGGTGTGGCAAGGACAACAAACTTTCAGCTTTTACTGTCGTTTAGGGAATATTACATGTTATGGACCGGCTGGCGGGAATGGTCCGTTAGAAACTGAGTCCGTTCTGTTTATAATATCTCAGGGTTGTATCCCACGGTTGTATCCCATTATTATATCTCAGGGTCGTATCCCGTTATTGCATCCCATGGCCAGGATCGTATCCCGTTATTGTATCCCTTTACTTTACCCCAGGGTACTATCCGATTATTGTTTCCCACTTTTGTACCCCATTAGAATATCCCAGAGTTGTGTCCCATTACTTTATCCCATGGAAAGATATGATTATTGTTTCCCACTATTTTATCCCATTATTGTATCCCATTACTATATCTCGGTGTCAAGATTAGCTAC